GGATCCGGTCGCCCCGCCTCAGGAAGTCTTCCCTCAGGATCCGATCATCTCTCCTCAGAAAGTCTCACTCGGGATCCGGTCATCCCTCCTCGGGAAGCCTCCCCTCGGGATCCAATCATCCCCCTTCAGAAAGTCTCACTTGGATCTGGTCGTCCCTCCTCAGGAAGCCTCACTTGGGATCTGGTCGTCCCTCCTCAGAAAGTCTCCGGATATTGTCATCCCTCTTCAGCCTCACTCGGGATCTGGTCGCCCCGCCTCAGGAAGTCTTCCCTCAGGATCCAATCATTTCTCCTCAGAAAGTCTCACTCGGGATCTGGTCGTCCCTCCTCAGGAAGTCTCCCCTCAGGATCCAATCATCCCCCTTCAGAAAGTCTCACTTGGATCTGGTCATCCCTCCTCAGGAAGTCTTTGGATCTGGTCGTCCCTCCTCGGGAAGCCTCACTCGGGATCCGGTCACCCCTCCTTAGGAAGCCTCACTTGGGAATCTGGTCGTCCCTCCTCAGAAAGTCTCTGGATCTGGTCATCCCTCTTCAGCCTCACTCGGGATCCGGTCGCCCCGCCTCAGGAAGCCTCACTCGGGATCGGGTAGTTGTTCTCCACTGTCCACCAACTTCTGGCCTGTGTGGAGAAACTCACTGCCGTAGTTTTTCAGTTGGTTCGTTTTTAGGATCTCTGTGTTGTCCTTGATGTATTTGGCAAGTCGGCCCCTTGGAGAACCTTCTGATATGGATATTCACATCTTTCAATTCTGAGAAAATACTTTGTTATGTTCCAACCTTGCGTTAATTTTTTTTTGCGCTGGTCAATACAGAGATATTCCAGAGCTCTTTTTGCCTTGTTTAAGGGCATCTTTTATTAACGAGTACAGTCTTTTGGGGCACCTGGGTGGCTCAGTCGGTTGAGCGTCCGACTTCGGCTCAGGTCGTGATTTTGCAGTCTGTGAGGTTGAGCCCCACGTCGGATTCTGTGCTGACAGCTCAGAGCCTGGAGCCTGCTTTAGATTCTGTCTCCCTCTCTCTGCCCCTCCCCTGCTCGTGCTTTGTCTCTGTCTTTCAAAAATAAACAAACATAAAAAAATATTTTAACGAATACGGTTTTTTTGTCTTTTGGGGATAACAGTTGCGCTTTTCTCTCCTTTTGTTTTTCTAAGCTTCCTTTTTGCATGGTCTTCGTCTTCCCCAGGTTCGGCGTCTGCAGCTAGCCTCGGCTTGTCTAGATCGTCTAGATCGTCCAGATCTTTCTAGGTGGCAGGCTTCCCGGGAGTACTCTTGCTCAGGGCCAGGGCCCGGGGCAGGTTGGTCTGTGGTGACACTGGGGGGTGCGCCCCTGCCTCCGGTGCCCTGGTGCTACCCCTCTGCCTCGTCCCCCTTCTCCGCCTCCCAGCCTACCGTTGAGCAGTGGGGAAGGTCCTGGGGCCTCCGCCTTCCTGGTCTCCGGGCTCCCGGTGTGGCTGTGTCACATCCGGCACTCCAGGATCTGCTCTCCGGTTCTAGAACTCTGGCACTGCTGTCTCAGCTCTGCTCTGTTCACGTCCCTTGCTCACCGGGTCGTCAGGGTTTAGAGGTCAGGGGCCTCCAGTCCGCCATCTGTCACCCACTTTGGCCTGGCCTTTTTTCCCAAGTGTTCGTAACTTAACTGAGATGGTGATCCATTTCGTGTCCTTTTCCTCGATCCCCTTAACGGTACGTTTCCTCGTGTGCAGGAAAACTGCGAACTGTTCGCGATGGCTGCTTACGCTACGGTCTGCTGAAGTGTTGCTGGCCTTGACTCTTTAGCTTCTGTCCCTTTTGGAACGTTAAGGACGATGTGGTGGGGCGCCTGGGCGGCTCGGTCGGCTAAGCCTCCGACTCTTGGTTTCGGCTCAGGTCACGATCTCCCGGTTCGTCAGCTCAAGTCCCACATCGGGTTCTGCGTCGGGCTCTGCGCTGTCAGCACGTAGCCTTCTTGGGGTATTCTCTCCGTCACTGCCCGTCTCAAAAGAAGTAAATTTAAAAAAAAAAAAAAAAAAAAAAAGGACGATGCTAAAACAGACCTCCTGATAGCACTTCAGCTCTGTGGCGTGTGTCCTTGGGAGAGAATCCCTGCCCGGCAGTTTCAGGCAGGAAGCTGAAGCCGTAGAGGGGTGGCTCTCAGAGGGAGAGGAAGGTCATTCTAGTCGTTTACCTTAATCAACCTGGACGCCGAGTCCCGATTGCCCTCAGGGTGGTGGGCCCAGCCACCGCCACCTGCCCTCAGCAAGCCCCCTGGCGGCTCCTGGGCCCGCAGTGCCTGCCTCCACTGCCCCCACGTGGGAGAAAACGGCGGAGGGTAGACAGGACAGAGCTGTAAACTAAGACCGAGCAGGAGAGACCGACCCCGAGGTCGCAGAGGCTGGGGGACGGTCGCCTAGCAGGGCTGCAGGGCCGCGGGGCCGACTCGGCCTTGCGGCGTGGCCCAGTCAGGCCCTTTGTGCCGCCTTGGCCTCCCCTCCGTGGACGGGCTCGGGCCCCGAGCTCTGGAGGAGGACTCCGTGGTCAGAGTGCAGGGAGGAGCCCACGTTGCGCAGGGAGGAAGGTGAGCTGCCTTCTGGGCGGTGGCGAGCAGGGGGCGCCTCCTCTGGCTCAGGGGCCTGTGGCGCTGAGCCCTCCAGAAGAGCCCGCACCGTGGTGACCGGTGGTGACCGGTAGTCGTTGAGGACAAAAGTCACAGAGCTTTCTTTCGGCCGAGTTTCCGAGTAAAGACCTTTCCGTGGAAAGCAGCGTTGGCCTTGGGCGCGGTCCTGCCCCTCCTTCCGAGGGTGCACCCGGTGAATAAGCCGGGATCTTCTCTTCACAGCTGGCTGGAGGAGGCCTCACCTTGGCGGGCACCGCCCCGTGCACATTGCCCTGCCCTCCCCTCCCCGCCGGCTCCGGCGCACCCCTCCCTGCTCCCACTAGGCCCTCCTCCCCCTTGTGCTTCCTTCCATCGCCTCCTCCCGGGTCTCCCCAGACTCTCCCGGGCGCTGCCCCCGACGTGGCCGTCCTGAAAAGCTGGCTGTGGTAGGCCTTTGTGGTGCCCTGCAGGGCTGCGAGCTGCCTCCCCCGGGCGGGACTGCCTGCCTGGCCTCTCCAGACAGAGACCCGGCGGCCCAGCATCCCTACCGTAGACTCTGGGCCCACCCTAGCTGGACAGATGCGCTGTGGTCACGGGCCCTAGAAAATGGTGAGCTGGCGGCTGTGGGTCTTCATCTGCCGGGTGAGAGGTCCTGGGACCCGCCCCTGGGTTTGGTGGGCAGGGGGGCGGGGGGTTGACCCTAGCACATGGAGGGCCACATGCCTAGCACAGGGACGTGGAGAGTATTCAGTTCTGCCGAGTGGCGCGATGCGCAAGAGTGGCAGTTCTGCGCGTAGAACGCCTGCACACGGGTGATGGTTACTGTCGCGCACCTAATGGAGCGACTCCAGCTCCGCCCCGTGACCCTCCAGCCGGGCGCCGGAGACACATCTGTGTCCCTGTTCCCATCTGCTTCCCCTTCAGATGCTGGACGAGAACCACCACCTGATCCAGTGTATCCTGGACTACCAGAGCAAGGGCAAGACGGCCGAGTGCACCCAGTAAGTGGCCGTCGGGCTGCGGAGGTCACCCTCAGAGGACGGCCTCGTCCCCCCACCCCGGGGCGCTCCCCGAGGAGGGGGAGACGACGTGGAGGGAAATGAAGGGTGGGCGGAGGGGGCTGCTGGGGGACACACCAGGGGACGATGAGCGCCCCTGGGCGGGACCTCGTGTGACCCCCGGGGCTGGACGCGGAGTAGGTGCAGGGGCTGGCTGTCAGAGCCACCGGAGGCCTGGCATGTGTGAGCGGTCGCCAGGTGCCTGGGGGCTTTTCCTGGGTTGAACCGGGCTTCCCCACGTCCTCCCGGCCTGTTTGGGGGGCCGCTTCCAGGGGGCAGAGAGATCAAGTCTGCCGCGTGTCACGGTCAGATGGAGGAGGGCTTGTCCTCTGGCGTCCGCTCCGGTGTCTCCCTCAGTCTTCTGCCTCCTCCCGCCGCTCTGAACAGACCTGGTGGCGCGTGCCCTTGGGCCACCGCCTCGGGGGCCTTTCAGCATGTTTTCGTCAGACAGGATCCCGCTCACGACTCAGGCCGGGTCCTATTCCCTGCCCGGCCCTGTGCTAGAGCACAGAGCGCTGTGTTGCCTGCCCCGTCCCCGAAGGTCAGTGTCCCCCTGGGGCCCGGCTGCGAGGCTGTCCCAGGTGGACTTCGTTTCTTCCAACTGGCCCGTGGGCGCTGCCTCACTGTGTGTCCCTCCCCTGCAGGTACCAGCAGATCCTGCACCGGAACCTGGTCTACCTGGCCACGATCGCGGATTCTAACCAGAACATGCAGTCCCTGCTGCCCGCCGTGAGTGCCCGCGGGGGGCAGGGGGGGACAGTGGGCCACCCTCGCCCAGTGCAGTTGCCTGCTGCGATCCGGGGAGCAGCCGTCGGAGCGTGTTACGTGGAGTAGCCAAGGAACAGACAGGAGCCCGCAAAGGGGCAGGAGGCCAGTTGGCCCGAGTCGGAAGTGGACTGGTCAGAATTGTGACATCAGTTTCTGTAGCAAAGGGAGGTGACCCTGAGGAAGCAAACCTAGAAACGGTGGGCGGCAGGTCTCCGTGGGGAACAGGAGGTGGTGTGGGGGATTCTCGCTCTTTATCGTGAGCCCTTCTGAGCGAGTCTGAAGATGCTGCCCAGGAATAAACGGCGCTCCGGTTCGGCAACAGAACTGTGAGATGCCGCCGGTGCAGTGAAGGTTTTAAGTGTTAACATACTTTGTTTTCTGCTTAACTTTTTAAAATCCGTTTTCCCCAAATCAAATAATTGCTGCAAAGGCAAGGTCCAGCAGTGGCCGCCTCCCGCAGGTGGACCAGAAGGCAGAGCCGCGAGAAGGACCCGCCCGTGTAGACCGTGGTGGGCAGGGACGTTCTGGGACACACGCGATGCCCCCTGGTGCCCTGGAAAGTGATGTCCTAGGTGCCAGGGTGTCTTACCAACGAAATTGTTAAATGGACATTGATTGGTCTATGAAATCGGGATTCCTCGCTCTGGAGACAGCAGTGGATCCTGCGGGGAACTTCATTTTCTTGGCCAGGTGTAGACAGCATCTGCCTCCGAACCTTCGGAGCTGCTGTTTGGTCTGGATCCGGGAGGTGAGGGTGCAGGGGTCCCTCGTGTGTCCCGTCGCCTTCTACATCCTGATCACGGTTGGGCTTGCTGCGGGGCAGGGCACACGCACGGGAGGAGCAATGAGAGGGCCAGGGCTAGGGCACAGGGCAGTCTGTGCAAAGGCCCGGGGCATGGGGTGGTGTGGATGAGGGACACAGCGAATCCTGGCCAGCTGAGGCCAGGGTGCAGGGGCAGGGGCAGGGGCAGTGTGGTGGACCGGTGAGGTGGTCCCTTGCATCCCCAGTGAGGAGGGCCCATCTTTGAACCTCCGGTATGTGCTGGTTAGCTTGGTACTCGCTTAAGGTCTGAACGCTCACAAGAATGCTCGGTGTACCGTCTCCTGGCCTGAGGTGTTTGGGCCTCGTAGTCCGCAGTCACCGATCACGTGTGTGAGCGGCAGTCGGTCACAGACATCTGCCAGGTGGCCGTGAGCCGTCGAGGTAGCTCTCTCGAACCGCCGAGTCCCTGGAGGGCTTCGGGTGCTTCGTCTCTGGGTTAACCAGCCTCCTGTTACTTTCTTGTCGCCTGCAGCCGCCCACCCAGAACATGAACCTGGGCCCCGGAGCGCTGTCCCAGAGCGGCTCCAGCCAGGGCCTGCACTCCCAGGGCAGCCTCAGTGATGCCATTGGCACGGGCCTGCCCCCGTCCTCCCTCATGCAGGGCCAGATCGGCAACGGTGAGTACCCGGAGCACTGGCGACAGGGTCACCGCCTCGGGCTCCCCGGTGCCTGGCTGTCTCGGCAGAGCACCCCATGCCCTGCAGAGCTGAGCGTGGGACGTCCCTCCTCCCAGAGGCCCCGGCTGCGGGGGCGCCGCTGTGCCCGGGTGCGCGTGCGCAGGGTAACATGCAAAGGGGATAAAGCGCTTCAGGTCCCCTGCTCTGCTTTGACTTCACATCCACACGGGTTCCGGGTGGGTTTTTTAAACGAGAGCAAAAAGGTTATCTCCGGATCAAGAGCTCGATCTCTGGCCACCGGGAACCGTCACCGTCACAGCTAACGTGCGATTCCCGCGCTCGGTTTGTTTCCTTCATCGGCGCTGCCGACCACGGGCTGGCCTCCCTCCGCACGATCGCTCGAAGGAAACGTGGGGTGTCTGGCGGCAGGGCCAGGCCTGCCATCAGACGCGGTCCCTGGTGGGTTTAAGGTCCCCTCCCTGTGCTCCTGGCAGGTCCGAACCACGTGTCCATGCAGCAGACGGCACAGAGCACACTGCCCACCACCTCCATGAGTATGTCGGGCAGCGGCCACGGCACGGGGCCCGGCTACAGCCACTCGGGACCCGCCTCGCAGAGCGTGCCCCTGCAGGGCCAGGGCGCCATCGGCAACTACGTGTCCCGGGCCAACATCAACATGCAGTCCAACCCAGGTACCGCCCTGCTCGGCCCTGGGACACCCCTCCGGCCCCCGTGACCCTTCGAAATATGTGCAGACCGTGCACGCGGTCCTGTGGGGCTTCTGAAGGGGTGGGGGCCGTGGGAACAGACCACGTGAGGTCTGGCTCTGTGGAGAGGGGGTTTCCACCAGTCCCCGCGGGAGCGTCAGGCGAGGCCGTGCCGAGGGGCGGTCCGTGCCCTATCTGAGGACGGGACCAGGCTCACGCGGGGTCGGGGGCGGTGTGGCCAGAGCGCAGAAGTGGGCAGCGAGCAGGGCCATAGACGCTGGGCCAAGGGAGCCCCGTGGGCTGGGAGTGGGGTGCCGAGCACTGGGAAACGTTGGGTCCCCATCGAGCTGTCCCAGAGTGTCAGACACTGAATTTCAGAGGCTTGGTACGGACAGGGAGATCATGAGCTCTCTCCCTAGTTTACTTTCACGTCTTGTAATGTCTGGCTTCTTTGGGAGGGGGAGAGCATGAGCAGGGGGAGGGGCGGGGGTGGGGGAGCAGAGCCCGACACAGGGCTCAAATTCACAAACCGTGAGATCACGACCTGAGCCAGTCAGATGCTCAACCAACTGAGCCATCCAGACACCTTTTTTTTTTTTTTTTTTTTTTTTTTTTTTTTTTTGAGAGAGAGAGAGAGAGAGAGAGAGAGGGAGAATGAGCAAGCAGGGGAGGGGCAGAGAAAGAGAGAAACCTAAGCAGGCTCCACGCTGTCAGCGCAGAGCCCAACACGGGGCTCGGACCTACAAACGGTGAGATCATGATCCGAGCCGAAATCAACAGTCAGACACTTAACTGAGCCACCCAGGTGCCCCAAGATGAGGATGTTCTGGACATATCGAGCCAAGATATATTACTAAAATAGATCTCACCTGTTTGTTTTACTGTCGTGGCATGGCTCACTTCCCGTCCTCCTGGGCAGTGCTGCTCTAGCGGGCTCTGAGCAGGGGCGGCACGACTGGACAGGCCAGGGGGCACAGGCCTGAGCATCCGGGGGCACGGGCATGGCTCCTTCGCAACCAGCCCAGGGGACGAGGGATGACAGGACAGGACTCGTGTTTCTCTGTGCGTGGAGGTGGCCCGGGAGCTGGAGTCAGACAGGGATGCGGCCGGGGTCTGGGGTGAGGGTGAGGACGCCCGCCTGGGGAGCTTCTCGGGGTTATTCGGGTCTGTCGTGTCGCCCAGTGTCCATGATGCACCAGCAGGCGGCCTCGTCCCACTACAACTCGGCGCAGGGCGGGAGCCAGCACTACCAGGGCCAGTCGTCCATCGCCATGATGGGCCAGGGCGGGCAGGGGAGCAGCATGATGGGGCAGCGGCCCCTGGCGCCCTACCGGCCCTCCCAGCAAGGTAATGCCCGCACCGCGTCTTTCTGCCTGGGAAGCTGGGGGGCGTGAGGCTTTAGTTCTTTAGTATTGAGCAAGGATCGTGGATGGTCCGGAGCCTCGTGGGGCTAACGAAATACGGAAGGACAAGGGCCGGTGCCGCTCCTGGAGGTGGACGGGCTTGAGGGGCTGTAGGGGGTTAAGTCAGGCGCAGGGTCCACAGCAGGTGCTGGGGCGGTCAGGTTTGTAAGTGTGGTCCCGGGGACTGGGGGCTGGATGCGGGGGGTCCCGACCAGGCCGTCGAGGAGGCTGTCACGTCACGGGAGAACCGTTGCTGAGTTACCGTCCTGCCCCCAGGCTCGTCCCAGCAGTACCTGGGCCAGGAGGAGTACTACGGAGGCGAGCAGTACGGACACGGCCAGGCCGCCTCGGAGCCCATGAGCCAGCAGTACTACCCTGACGGTGAGGCCCGCGCCCGCCCCGGCACCGGCCGTGGGGTGGCTGCCCACCGCCGTGCTCCGGTCGCCCCCGGCGCAGACCCGTCGCCCCCGGCCTCTGCCGGCAGGGCACCCGGAGTCCCCCTCGCCCGAGTGCCTTTGGGAACTGGGGTGAGGGCACGTCTGGTCTCTGCTGAGAGAAGCTTCCGGTTCAGGCCACAGCCACTCACCTACTTGAGGCTCCTCTCTCCCTTCCCAAACGGCAGCAGGGGGTTGAGGCTGAGATGTGCCGTCCCCTCAGTCAGGGCATGTAATTGTTTTGGAAGGTGGACACGGGAGCCCTTACGAAATGCCTTCCGAAGGCGGCGGTTTGTATCTGCTGCTCAGTTTCTGCGGATTCTTTTCCCTTGGTGCCGCCTTTCGGTCACGTTTGAACAGTCTCAGGATTTGTGGAGGTGGTGTGGAAAGCGGTCACCTAGGATTGGTGGGATTTGCAGGGGGAAGGACCCTGGGCACGGAGCACGCGTGGGGTGGGTGGTGGGGAGGCGGCCGAGGCCAGGGCAGGGCGAGCTGTGTCGCCGCCACATGATGGTGACAAGGCCTCCTGAGGGCTCACGGTGCCCGGGATGAGGGGCCGCTGGGCCTTGTCACGTGTCGGGCACTGAGTACACGGTCTCCTCTCTGTAAACTGTGACAGATGGACTCCTCACGCTCACCTCCAAGCAGGGTGGCTGCCTGCGTCTCAAGGGAACAGAGGCCAGGAGGTGGCGGGAAACTGCTTCACAGACTTAACCTGCGGGAAAAAGACGGATCGGGCCTGACTCCGGGCACTCCTGACCCCACGTGTTGCCCGTTCAGTTCACGACTGAACCCCGAGCCCAGGCGGCCTGGACCCCCCACTGACTGTGGTCCATGTGGGTTTTCCCGCAGGACACGGAGACTACGCCTACCAGCAGTCGTACACGGAGCAGAGCTACGACCGGTCCTTCGAGGAGTCCACGCAGCACTACTACGAGGGCGGTAAGCTGCGCGGGGCCCACGCTTCAGTCAGACACGTGCTATGCCGGGTGGCGCTGCACTCTGTGAGGCCAAGGGTACCTGTGGCCGCTGCGGGCGCTGCGCTCATGACGCGGGCGGGGTGGTTGGAGTGGTCGCTCTGGAGTTGTGGGGGAACAGACCCTACCATCTGTGCAGGGGGAGCTCAGACGGGCTCCCTTAAGAGTTGCCGGCTCGGTCGGGGGGGTCCGGGCACCCTGTGTCCCTCCCGAGCCAGGCAGGCAATGCACATGGGGTGCGTGGCTTCCTTGGGTTTGGCCTGGGCGTTTCTTGAAACACCTGCTGGCCAGATCAAGTGCAGCTTGGGCTGGGAGCTGTCCGCAGAGGTGGGGTGAGGCAGTGACGTTCTAGAAGCAGACTCTGACAACACAGAGCCAAGTAGCAGCACGCACCCGTTTTCCTGCTGTGAATACTCCCACTCACACTGACTTCCAGCCACCAATGTGGTGTCACCAAACACAACTAGGAAGAAATTTGCACGTTAACCTCTCAGATGGGGCCCCTATAGAGTGAAGGTACCTCGCTGCCCTTGCGAGACCCCAGGGGAAGAGAAAACCGTGAGGCCACAGGGCACTGGGACATCAGCCCGTTTATAGCCTAGGCTTCCCGGTCAGGACATCAGAAGGGGAGACAGCGTGAGGTTTCGTAGCAGGGCCCCTGGGGAAGGAAACACAGCTATAACCATGAAACAGGCAGTTTGCAAGTCCAGGTGTTTACAGTGGCTTTTTAAAAGAATTAAGCTAAAAACACAACAGTATTTACCGCTTGAACCATTTCTGAGCGTAGTTCAGTGACGTTCAACACATTTACATTGGGCGGCCGTCCCGACCGTCCGTCCCCGAACTTGTTCATCTTCCAGACTGATTTTCTGCCCCCATCAGACACTGGTTCCCATCTCCTGCCCCCAGCCCCCGGCGCCCACTTTCTGTCTCTGCGTGTGACTGCGTCCATCATGCAGGATCATACAGCACTTGTCCTTCTGTGAGTGGCTCACTTCGGTCAGCATAATGTCCTCAGGGTTCATACGTGTGTTAGCAGCTATCGGAGCGTCCTTCCTTTTAAAGGCGGAATCGTTTTCTAGTGTGTGGGCACAGCATCTTGTTCGTCCATTTCACGGTCGATGTTTTAAAATTTTTTTAACGTCTATTTTTGAGAGAGGGGAGGAGAGAAAGACACGACGTGAGTGGGGGAGGGGCGGAGAGTGAGGGAGACACAGAATTCCAAGCGGGCTCTGGGCTCTGAGCTGTCAGCCCAGAGCCCGACGCGGGACTCGAACCCGTGGACGGTGAGATCGTGACCTGGGCCAAAATCAGCCACTTGACCGACTGACCCCCCAGGCGCCCCGATCGATGGACGCTTTTGAGTTGTCTCCGTCTCTCAGCTGTCGTGAGTAACGCTGCTGTGAACGTCAGCGTGCAGATGTCTCTTTGAGTCCCTGCTTTCTTTTCCTTTGCATTTATGCCCAGAAGTAGAATGAGGGGTGGTCCGGTAATTCTGTGTTTAATTTTTTGAAGAACTGCATTCTGTCTTCTGTGGCGCGATCTTGTTTCTTAGTTACGGCGGTAGGAGATTATAGGACATGTGGAGAATACGGGAGAATCGCCCAGTTGGAAGGACTTCCCCGCAGCGATTCCCCCTGTCCCCACGTTTGGGTGTTGCTTGCGAACACGGGTCAGACCCAGCCTTCTTGTCCTGGCGAGGCTGGCTCCCCAGGCCCCGTGATGGCCCGTGCCTGTGCATCACACAGCCAGGCAGGTCCTCACCCCTACCCCGGCAGGTGCCCCACCTGTTCCCAAAGCAGGTGCTGTGACCTGGCCATCACCCCTGGCTGGATCTGAAACCTGATGATGGTTGTAGAACAAGAGAACAAAACATCCCAACCACCTTGAAGTAAAATTATTTATGGACAACTTCATGTTCCCCGTTGTTTTTACGAACCAGTCAAGTGATTGAGTGTTGGCCATTGATGGGGAAAGGGTGACGCTTTTTTAAAAAAAATTTGTTTTAATGTTTGTTTATTTTTGAGAGAGAGAGAATGGGGGAGGGGCCGAGAGCGGGGGGAGACAGGATCCAAAGCAGGCTCTGCGCTGACAGCAGCGGACCTGACACAGGGCTCGAACTCACCAACCTGAGCCACGAGCAACTCACCAACCTGAGCCGCACGCTTAGCTGGCTGAGCCACGCAGGCGCCCTGCGGGCAACACCTTTATCCTGCCTCCTCACCACAACTCAGGTGGTTCCTGTGTCGCGCTTGGTCGTGCCTTCCGTTACGACCACAGTAAACTCGCCACCCGAGACCACCGAGGCGGTCCCCTCATCCACACGGTCGCCCCAAGCGCTGTTCTGCAGCGGAAGCTCAGCTGCTTCTCTTCGCTTCCAGTTGAAGGCGGGTGTGAGTGAGCGTTCTCGGGGCGCACCACATGCCCCTCACCTTGGACGTTTCCAAGACGCACGCTGGCCCAGCGACAGCTCTGCGGGCTCCTGACCGTGGCGGCCGGCCCGTGTCACTGGCACTGGCACGGGTATGGGAGGGTGGAGGGATCGCGGGCTGACAGGGGAACAGATGGGCCCACACTGGGCAGTCGCGCCCACGCAGCCTCGCCGGGAGGCGCTTGGACAGGGTGCTGGAGGGGGAGCCCCTCGCAGCGGGAGACCCGCAGACAGGCCGCGGCCAGAGGCCACACTGCAGACGGGGGTCCCGGGGAGAGGGTTCCTGTGCCCAGCAGCACGGCTCCGGGCCAGGGGCCGACAGCTGTGAGCACTGACCTGCCTCCAGGTAGCAGCTGCTGGTGACACTTCACAGGGTACACCAGCTGGTGGGCTCTACACGGCTAAAACTCCACGTGTTTGGGCCATTATAGAAACAACTTGACGCGTAAAAAGTCGAGTTTGGCGCACTCAGGTGTCTGCGCCGCTGGGTCTCCGCCTGCCGGGAAGAGGTGAGCTCCCGGGGCCACCTGGGGCTCATCCCTGCACGCTCTCCTCTGCCAGCACTGGGGCCTGTCCGCAGAGGCCGCGGCCGTGGGCCCTCCGTCCGCCTCCCGGGACGCCGGCGCTCGGCCCTCTCCACTGGGAGGGCCCTCTGCTCACCGCCTGCTCTGCGGCGTCCCGGTGAGAGTGCTCAGGAAAGAACCTTCCGGCAGAAATGACTGCTCCAAAGACAAGTTCAGGACGTGCCGCTCAGCCTTGGGAACTTCGAAGCGCACGTTTTTATACCCTTACGTTTGGCTCACGGGTTCTCGCCTCCCATAATCCGCAGGACGTTTGCTAGAACGGTCACTTTTTTTAAGGCAGGTGTGGCAGACGGAATGGTTTCCTCCTGAATCTGGAAGCTTTTCGTTCCGTCTTGTTAACTGGACCTCGACCCAGCACTACCCGTACTTGTGTCACAGGGCCCAGGTCACCCCACGGTGGGTGGCAGTGCCGGGTGTGGTGTGAGAGGCAGGCGGCGTTCTGCTCTGAGGAGACTGGATGTGCGTGAGTGGCCCGTGGCCCCGTGCAGGCGGAGGGCACCGAGTGGAAGCAATGAGGGGGTAGGTTGAAGCCAAAATGAAGAGTCTTCCAGTCATTACATTATTCCATGTGATGGGGAGCCTTGTGGGGCGCGGCGGCTGGTCCTGGGGTTCACAGGAGGTGGCACGGGACAGGAGCCCCGGGTGGTCCCGTACAATGAGAGGGCGCTAACGTGCAGAGGGCTGGTTCCAGGCCAAGCGGGATGAGGGGATGTGGGTTCGGCCGAGCCAGGTGGACACAGCGCCATCAGGGCCCCCGCCGAGCAGTCCACGGAAGCCTTGAAGTCCTGCTGCACCCTGTCACTGAGATCTGCAGTGGCGGAGAGCAGACAGAGCCAGGGTCTGTGGCCCTGTGACCGGTCCATGTGTCTGTTAAACAGTGGCTATTAAAGGAAGCAAAGCCTCTGTGGCTGCCGTGGTGGAAAATCCGGGTGGTGCCGGGTGCTCAGGCCGGGTGCCGAGGACCAGGGTGTCTGGGGTGCCGCCTTCTGCGGAACACGGTACGTGTTTGCACATGCACACACACCCCACGGACAAACTCTGGAAAGACGGTCAGGACACCGATAGAAGTGGCTGCGAGGGGACCGGGTGGCGACCGGGCAGGCTGCGGGTGGCCTTTTTCCCTGAACCTCTTGAAGGTGGGCTAGCTTCGTGTTCACATTTGTGGATCTCGCGAACGTATCCGCCTGTGCGGAAGGTGAATTTACAAATATTAAACGTGACTATCTCCGAAAATCAAAGCAGCCCAACCCTGTGGCCGTCCAGACCCATCGCACCCCTGGTCCCATGGTCACGGCGCTGTTATCCTGGGTGTCCTCAGGGTCTTGCCCCGAGGAGACCCAGAGTGGCCCATGCGTGTCCCCGAGGCACACCCTTGCTCCCTGGTTTTTGTTGTTGTTGTTTTTAATGTTTATTTATTTTTGAGACAGAGAGCATGAATAGGGGAGGGTCAGAGAGAGGGAGACACAGAATCGGAAGCAGGCTCCGGGCTCTGAGCTGTCAGCACAGAGCCTGACGGCTCAAACTCAGGGACTGCGAGATCATGACCTGAGCCGAGGTCGGACGCTTAACCGACTGAGCCACCCAGGCGCCCTTGCTCCGTAGTTTTTATAGACTGCGTCACTGAGCTGATGGGTCACTGGTTCCTGGTGGTGGTTTTGTGTCCAC